GAATAATATTTTTATTCATATTTTTTGGACGCTTGCTGTGTTGCTAATTGTATTCATATTTAAAACATTATCCAATAGCCACAACACGAACACATACTCCAGCTGCGACTACAACTGCAAAACGACAGAAAGTACGAGCCGAAAGATCTGTTGATAGAGAAAGTGTGTATCTCGAGTCATCTCTTTGCAATCATTTACTTTTACTTTAATAAATATAACTTACCCGTTTCTTTTTTTCATTGCTTCACGTTTAACTCGTGCTTAGATGCAATAGCAGAATCATCACGCACTGCTCGAACATCCCCAATAATCCTCCCTCCTCTTCCGGATCGACCGCCAAGCGCAAATCGATCACCGAGCTTAATTTCTCTACCATCAAGCGTAAATTGTTCACCGAGTGCGATTTCTCTGCCACCAATACAATCTACAAGAGAGAATGACATGAATGGAAATGTCACGTTACCATCGTTACGATCGTTTTTATCGATCGACTCTACCGATACGAGCGGAAGTCCTTCAACACCGGGAAGTGACAACGGATTTAGAGAGGAAGTGCAAGTAGTAGATTTAACAGTTACACCGGTCAGGGGCGGGAATAGCAGGACAGAGGGTGAGGCGAATACGAATTCATTTGAGATGTTGAATTTATTGAACACGTTTTCAGCAATTTCATCATCAACATCTTCAAATCCCGCATACTATGCTACACCACCATCTTCATCACCACTTCGCTCTGTCACAAATTATAAAGATGATGTCGTTGATTTGACACTATCTACTCCAAGGCCACAATCGAGTGAAGTAATCGTTATTGATGACGCTTCTCCTACGCCGTCGCCCAAGCCGCCCAAGCCTGCGTCGTCAGATGCGCCGCGTGGTCTTCAAATAAAGTGTGCAATATGCTTAGATTGGCCAAAGGACATTTCAGCCACTACGTGTGGACATATATTTTGTAGAGAATGTATTCGTACTGCTGTTCGAGCACAGCGGATGTGTTCTCTATGCAGACATCCACTGACTCGTCGGCAAATTAAGAGATTGGAATTTAAGGTTATGTGAAAAAGTAGCTGACGAGTGACTACACTGTTATACAAAAGGGGGAGAGTTGTTAAAACAATTGCTGATAGTCTTCAATCAACATACGGACAATAATTTAAGTTCTATTTTCTTCTTTTTGCTTTAATCTTTTATGTAGTCTTGGTCAATTCAAGATATATATTTTTTTTGATTGATGCTGACTTTAAGAGCCGTTTCAGATGGTTATAATCATTAATAAGGTAAGAACTAGATGAATATCCTGCTGTTTACAGATGAAAGCAAGGCGGGTGCTAGTAGAATCTTAGCACAATAGTTCAACGCTTTAACTGTTGACAGAGTAAGTGTTATACCAGTCCATGGCTGGTATTTCGTGTGCTATTTTGAACACTATATATATGTCTGTGGTTGTCTAATAGTGGAATAAAGATTAATTAGAATGGGATAAGTAATACCACAACAGTAACGTCAATCGCGTTATGGTTTGAAAGCGTATTAGGTTCCAGTGTTTATAATAAAAACCAAGTGTATCTAATCAAATATTAAAACGGGAATCTTTGTTCATGAATTCATGTTCTCCAATTTAATACATGTAGACGTAACGATGAAACCACAACTCTCCTGATGTCGAATTTGTAATCAGTGAACTTTAATGGCAAGATATTCTCTCGACAGCCCTGCCTCGTGATAGACACTCCGGTAATTGTGTTGTATTAGTATATCGACATTTCATTATCAAGATTGTTATGGAATCTGCTGATTACATCATGTCATTGAAATCACGCCGCAATGCCAGTGCGCAATAGTTATCGACTTTGCTTATGAGATTAACATTCTCATATACTTTTACGGGGCGGGATCACCCAAAACTTATCATGAGAAGAATAAACATGATAGGTTATTGTTTATGGTGAATGCCATTAATAATTAAAATGATTTATTTGATTGATTAAAAATGACATTAATGGTAATAATAGTATTATTATTAATACTGCTGCATTATCTATCAAAAATAAAAATAAAAACTTTTGTGTCGCACAGTGGCATACAATAATGCCCAAGATTTTACTTGCCCGATCAGGAGAAATTTTCTCATGATGACGGACGATTGCACGTGTTGGATATAAGAACAGTAGCATTGAATGTTCTGACAACCTTCCATAATAATGCTCTCTCTTACCACTCGTCTCTCTCAAGCTTCGCGCCTCGCACTTTGCCAAATGCGAGGCGCTTTTGTTCGTACCTATGCCTCTACAAGTTCAGAGTCAATAACTATCACACTCCCAGAGGAATCTATCACACCACACAATATTGAGCCACCGTCGCTCGAAGTGCAGGTGACGAAGGAAGAGGCAGTCGAATTATACAAGCAAATGGTCATA